ATTCTGTACATTTAATTAAGTTATTGTTAATTGTTACTGGTTTAATGTAAGTGGCTATTGTTCGGGACGAACAATACTAAGGAGGGGTCAGTGTTACGACATCGAGGTCACGTGACTAGTATCACGCCACGTCATTCTCGAACATTCACGTCTTTTCCTTAAATCTCGTGATTCTTCTAGATATAGTGTAGTCTTGTATATATAAGACCGTCCACGAAGTGACGAGGAAATAAGTAATTGAACTGCAGTCAGAGAGTGTGTAATTGAACTGAGTATTGTTGAAGTCGAGCACGTGAGACGTTTGTTATAGCGTGACTGTTGAAATTAAGTGTATCGCAAAGTTATATTCAGATAGAATAAACCAGTTTTATTTAAGAAAGGACTTGTGTCGCTAAAGTTTCGTCGGAATGAATTTACGGGAAATTAACTAACGAACGGAGACATAACAGTATGTATCAAAACTACCATTTGACATTGTTTGGCATTTTGCAGGTAGTGTGGTTGACAACACTGAAAATTTACAAATTTTAGTCACAAACACGTCACTAAAATATGCTCAGATCAAGGATTTCGAATTTCCAAGATGGAAATATCCTTTGTACCTAATCCCACATTCAATGGTGGATCAAAATGTGCATATTTTGAACTTTTTTACAGAGTTACATTCAAGATTTAATTAAACAACTTTATTATCAATGTATGTCAATAAACTTGGCATCAATACATAATTTATAATTCAACTATTAACATTATATAATTTTAATTTTCTTAATTTCAAGAAGAAATACTCAAATAAATTCTCAGTCTTCATTTTTCTTTATTATGCGACACTTCTTTGCTTTGAATTGCCTACTTTAGGTTTTCTTTCTACCCCTTTGTGATATTCTGAGTCTAAGTAAATTACACACTTATCATATAGGTATCACTATGACATAACGTAAATTTATAGCCAATCTTCTTGCTTTACTGAGATATAAACCAGTAAGTGAAACCCACATGCCACACCCTCCTATCACATCCCATATTGCAAAAAATTATAATTATTCTCTCTGCATTTGTTGTTGGATTATCTATAACCAAAAGAAGGAGAAGATTTAAATTTAACGAATTACCTGTAAGACTAGCTTGTTTTAACAACAGTTTTTGAATTATTCAGCATATTGTTTGTTTGTAGTTTAAACACAAAGCTACACAAAGGGCTATCCATGCTTTGCCCATCACAGGTATCAAAAATCAGTTTCTAGCATTGTAAGTCTGCAGACATACCACTGTGCCACTGAAGGGCCAGCCTATTGTTTCATTGTTTGCTATTTCTGATATCACCTTCAGCTAATGGTATTATTTTTACTAACTTATAGCTTAGTTAGAAAACCATATAAATTATACTAGTTATACAACATTGTATTTCTGTGTGTTAATATTTTGTGTTCTCAGCTGCATATTTGAAATAAAAATCAAATAAAGTAATACCAAAAAGTAATATGAACACATGTTGCTTCCACAACATATCCATTTAATTGTTATATACCTCAAGCAAATGGAGAATGAAACATTTATTCATGTTATTCCATATAAGGACATAATGGTCAAATTGGCTGAAACAAAGTCTATAGATTTCGGTGTAATCAGACCACTGGAAAACTAGTGGACTATGGAAAGCATTCAAGGTGACATGGTATGCTCTGGACATGACAGTCCCCCAGGACCGTCTTGTTTTGATAATTTTGTTTTAACATGAGTTATAAAACAAAAATAGATGAAATAATCACACAAAATTCTCCCATAATAAACTGATTTTTTGCTTTTCTATTAGCAAAAAAAAAATCCAACCTCTCTTACAGTAGTCCCCCCCCCCCCCAGTGAAATCTGAAATAACACCCTGTAACTAATATGAAGCATCTTAAATGACATAAAAATACTCATAAGGCTTCAATTACTCTAAAAGAGTGCTATATACAACCTACATACTTTTTTTACTTTAAACAAAAACAAAATGTTTTGTGCACACAGTATTAATGCTAATTTCCTGTTACTAACCTCCAAAAGAAAATCCCCCTTTTTTAAGCCTGCTAAATCAGCCATTCCACCTTTGTCTACATCATCTAGATATTGCAGGCTAGGCCAGTTGTCTGTCGGTTGCCTTTCCATTAATGGGCTTGTAGCTAAATAATAAACAAATTCATTTATATGTTTCTATAAATGTAAATAAAACAATAACCTATATCTCCAGAATGTAACTTTATAGCTCACTAAAATTATCAATTGGCTTAATGAACTGTTAGGATGTCAGTTGCTCCTGATGAAGGTGTAATACCAAAATATTGAGCAAATAAGTTTACATTGTGGAGATGTAGGTCGTTATTTTATTTATGTTTATAAAAATGTTTTGTAATAAACTCCAGTTTGCATTAAACAATGTTAGGAATAATAATAACAATTTCTTTAAAAGTTTCTATTTTTCCAACAGATTGATTAAAAATACTTACTTATTCAGTGCTGAAAATCCTTTATTGAATTTACTTAGCCTCATTAAATTTGCTAGTGAATTTAGAACAAGAAATTGAATCCAAATGATATTTATGGACAGTTGCATACCAAAACAGTAACGAATAATGTAAAAGGCAAAAACAAAAATTAAGTTATAAATTTAAGTTTAATACAAAACATTATTTGTGGCTGGGATAAAAACATTTGGTTTGGTTTACAAATACACATTTAAAATGACTGATTGACAACATGAATATGGCTAATGTGCTGATTAATGAACTTATCTAACATCTTTGAATAGTCAAGTGTATAGCTCAGAAATAAATAGTAAATTTGTGTATAATGGGACAGCTTTCAGTTGGCTCTCTTGGTACTCCACATATCTTTCTGGTGTCACTGACCTTTAAACAGGTAAACCCAGTCTACAATACAAGTGATAAATTTAATATAAACATGAAACTAGTAACATGACCTGTACCCAATGCCTTTAAGTAGCCAAAAATTACGTTTTCATAACCAACTAACTTTGTATCCAATAAAATGCAAACTCTTTCTATATATAATGACTTTTAAATCTTGGGTTGTGTAAGTATTTTTTTTTTAACATCTGGTTATTAAACTTTGTATACTGAAAGAAAACTCAGCAAGATTGAGTAAGTGTAATAAAGCTGTCTTGATTTAGCTTAGTCTTCATTCGAATATACTTGAAGTGTTAATGACTATAAATCTAAAGTCATTGCTTTTGAGATTCAAAGGTTACTCTTAATTTAGTAAGGTTACACAGATATTACACAATAAAGAGAGAAGAGAATCTAAATGGCTCATTTTTTAAGCCATATATTTCTGGAAGAAAAAAACAACTAAAATTATGGCTAACAGTTAGTAATAGTTCAACAAATCTTACCTTGAGCTCCTCTGAGAACAAAACCAAACCCTTTTTTTCCTTTATGGAGGATCACAGTTCGAGCATCACCATACCTAGTGCATAATGTCAATAGTAAAGTGTTTAAGAAAATTACAAAGAAGTTATTTCATTATAATGTCAAACTAGGGATTAATGTCTACTCATCTGCAAATGTTCAGATTCATTTGTAGATAACATTTGTAAATTTGTACCACAAAGAATGAAGTTTTTTCTGATATTATTTATGAATTTAATTTAAAGTTTCAAGCAGACCTATGAAATTAATTCACAATACAATAATAGAAGGCAAGTTGTGCTTTTAAAGAATACAATGTTTTGACCTATAGCATAGGGTCATCATCAGGTAAGATTTCACATTTCACATTTTTTCACAAGATAAGTTAAGATTTCAGAATTTTATATTTTTGTGAAATTGTATATTTTCAGTGTTTGTATTTTTCTTCCTAAGAATAGCACTGCTTCCCAATCCTTTACATTGATAGAAATATTTTAAGGAACATAAATAAAATCAAACATCTGAGCTTAAGTAGCCATAATCACTTGATTTCCAAGAAAATCTTCCCGATAGTATTTATTTATAATTTCAGGTATCATTCCAGGTGAGTGCAAAATCTGATATTTTTCCTTGCTGTTAACTGTTTGTTTTTTAATTATGCACAAAGCTACACAAGGGCTATCTGTGCTCTGCCAACACGGGTATCAAAACCCGGTTTCTAGCGTTGTAAGTACGCAGACATACCGCTGTGCCACTGGGGGGGGGGGAGCTGTTAACTAATGTTTCAGGTATTGCTTAGCCACATGGCAACATTCTGAAACATCAAAATTTTTAACCAAAAAAGTTGCATTTTTTTATTACTTTTTGTTATAAAGCTGTAAACTATTCTTTATGATGACTTTCATCTTTTGTTATTAACTATATATGGATTAGTTCTTATATGACACAAACATTTAATGACAAATGAATAATGCAATTTACACTTGTGGACACAAATTTTGTGGCAGAACATACCCAATTTGACCTGTATGAGAGAAGCCTTAAATTTAGTTTACAACAGCTGCTTATAACATACATACATGTACATATATGACCTACTACAAACCAGCCAAAGTCACCAGATGGCACTAATAATCACTAGGTTTTAGTTATAAATCACTTTAACAAAATTTCCTACCAAAACAGTTTGAAAGCTTAGCTATTTTTACTACTGCTGTATTCTGTACTGTTCTATAATGTACTTTAGGGTGCATAGCAATTAACAGCTTTAACAATTTACAGTCTAATTTACATTTTCAGTTTTTGTTGTTATGGAATTTAAAAACAATTTGATGTTTATATAAATTAACAAACTAACTGTTATTAATAGAAATGAGTTTAAAAGCAGCAAAAACGAAACTTAGGGGAAATGTGGCAGAGAAAAGTTTTTCTTGTTGAAATTTTGATGCAATAAATGCTAGCTTGCAGCTTGAGGAGTAACTGAAAACATAAGTTTTTAGGAAAAGAGAACAGTAAAAATTTAAGGAGTGGAAACTTTGCTCAGTCTTGCAAATTAAGTTGTGTTAGTCTTATCATACGTAAAAACCACAGTCATGAGAAAGATAAATGCTCTGTTAGACAGAGTAAATATACAAACTTAGGTATTTTATATTTTAAAAAAGTATCATTTTAAAAATGTAGTTCTTAGAAAAGAAAGAATACGTTTGTTATATTTGCAAGTTTCCCTTTGCTTGCTTTGCAAAGAAGTACATAGAATTCATTTAATCTTGTCCAGACTTGTTATTTTACACTTAAAGAAACTCAGTCAAGTTATCTATTGCAGAACACTTCCCTTATTTCTTGACTGAATCTGCTGTTATTTGTAGGTTTGCCTATCTGATATTTGTCAGGAAATTGGTTTTACATGAAAATATCACAATATATTAACAGTGTGTGTGTGAAATGTCACTATTTACAACTAAGCTTTTGGTGATGATAAACTAAAGCTGGCCTCAAATGAATAGAAACATGCTTTTTTAATCTTCCTAAAGCTGTAAACTTTTATTTGTTGTATTGATATGTTTAGCATATTTGTGAAATTTTGAAAGTTTTACAAAACATGATGCAACACACACACATATATATATATATAAATGAGAAAAGTAAAATTTAAACTCTCTTACATCTTCCACTGTCTTGGAATTGTGTTAGTTTTTCTAGCATTCAACTCTCTACGTCCTTCAATTCGAGGTTGACCAGTTGGGGGAAGGGCTTCAATTTTTCTCAACTTGACTTCCTGAACAGCTGAGGATGGAAATAGACCCTCCTGTTCATTTCTTAGCCTTCCTTCCAACAGCCCACAATCAGAGATACCAACAACTAATAAAATGTTAACATTTATGTGCACATCAAATATCATCATGACATATATAATACAAATTTTAATTTAAACTATCCATGTTAGATTGGGTCTCAAACCGTAATATGTAATAGATTATATAAAATTTCTTCATACTCCACAAAGTCAATGTATAATTCAGCATCTATGGGAAAATTCTGAGAAAGTTTTGGAATAAAGATTAAAAGCTTAGTTAAATTAGTTTTTATATTAGAAATAATTCAATTAACATTTTATAATTATTCTTGAAGAAGGTAAAAACAATGTCAACAGTAACTTTCTTTCCAATTCACTGGTCTTATTGTCTGATTTATCTTCAACTCAGTTGGCCTGTAGTTTTATTTTCACAGTTGTACTTTGTACAAATGATCAACTTAGGTCCAAATAATTGTTTACAATTTGCTTGATAAACCTAACATTCAGTATCTATTCCAAAAAACATGCATATCCTTGGGTTAACATGGTCTATTCAAATAATTTAAACACACATACCACTGCTAATCAATACTTAAAGTCAACTGACTCAATTTACCATCCACAATATCTCCTCTGGTCAATTGGAGGTGACCAGGACTACAAGGAGAGTAGTCTTCCACACAGACACAGGTTGTTCCTGGAAGAATAGGATTGTCTCCATGTTCAGTAGTTGACTCACTTGTTCCACTGTTACTTGTACACACACCGGAAGAATCGCTGGTAACACTTTTTTCTATTTAATAACAGAATATAAGAATAACTATGAAACTCCACCCCTAAAAAAAAAGACATTTTACAAAAAAATCTTAATGTCACTAACCAATAGTTTATGTTTATTATAAAGATGTATGTAACTAATGAATAGTTTGCCTTTTTTTTTAAATCTTAAATAAAGGAAGTTCTATGCCCTCACCAAAATTTGAACCCAAAACACTAAGTATTGCTCAAATTTGAGTCTTGCAGTCAATCATTCGCAACTGAGTGAGCATAATGACATAAGACATTGGTGGTTCTGTGAAATATGAACTGTGATTATTGATGTAATAATATCTATATCAGGGATGTATTCCTGGAAAATTTAATGCCAATACCCAGCATACATAAACGTAGTTACAGGACAAGTACATGAACATTCACACCCACACATATGTATATGACTTGTCACTTTGTTTTACAATTTAAAAGTATAGTAAATAATGCACTACATTTAATATTTAAAATTTGAAAACAAAATTATCCTAGTCATTCTAGTACGTTATTTCTGCCTTCAAAATTATTTGCTAGTACTCTGTATTGGCAAGTACTAGCTGAAATTAGCATGTATACATCTATAGTTTCATTTTGGTGTATCAGATGACTTAGTTGGGAATGAGTGTACAAAAATATTGCTAAAATTAGTAAAGGAAACAATGGTATAAGACAGGTGCATCAGATTCAAAATCTGGTCGGTGCATGTTGCTTTTCACCTACTTTAGATTGTTACACTACCATGACTGGTGCTATAGCTTCAAATACCTCTAAATAACATAAATGGAAAAAAATAAGGGAATGAAGTAACTTGAAAATCCTGTGGTGGTAACTGGTGTTAACCCTTTCAAAACAGGTCATAGGTGAAAGCCCATGTCATCTTGTTTGTTGACTTGCATTTAAAATTTTATTGAACTACTATTTCATGAATTTATGTCAATAAGTTTGGTATCAAACTGTAGATTATAATTCAAATTTTAGAACCATACATTATTTATTTAAAAATAAATATAAAAAAAACATCAATTTTTGTGTGTTACGTGGTATGTTGAATGCAGCACTGGTTGAAATTAGATGTTTGTAAAGTCAAAATATTAAGTCTATAGTT